GCCTAGGTGGAGTAGTCGAACACAGATCCACTGATCCTTCAACACAGAGCATCTTCAGAAGACAAATTTATAAAATAAGTTTTAAAATTCATCTTCTTCGATACGTAGTGTGTATTAAACGGTTTGATACAGATACATGTATTGTTGCACCCCTAACATTTATGTATAAACAGCTTGATGACATTACTGAGCGGACACCAAACGGCTAAACTGAACATTGAAAATATAGGGTTRCATCGCTGTTTCTGTAGAATCAAGGATCAAAGCTGGTTGTATCTGTCAGTGATTAACGACTGAACTCTTTTACATTTTACTTCAGCTTATATTTGGCAGCCAGACGTTTGCTGAAGGGCAATCGAGAGAGAAACAACATGTTTTCAGAAATCTCTCTCTCCGTTTTTTTAAACACATCTGTCACTTGTCCTTCCAACAGAACTGACAGTTTAACTCTATAAATGTGCAGCTCATCATCCTGGATTTTTTATATTTACATTGGTTTTATTTCGACTCAGATGTTTAAATCACTCACATATCCTGTTATTCATCCAATATGTGTATGAATGAAATTGTTGAATGTTTAGACTAAATGTTTCAGTACCTTTTTATTATCGAATGACTCACTACATGTTTTGATTTTTAAAGTGATATAAAGAAACTGTATAACAGCATTAAGAACAGCTCTCTACCCACAATAAGTCATGTTTAGTGTGAACGTGACAACATGAACAAACTAATTATTATTTACATGCACTCAAACATACCGGCAGTCCCGGTTTCCCTCTGGGCCCGGCAGGACCAGGTGCACCGACAGCGCCCTGTTAGTTGTAGACACAATTCATTCATTTTACACAGGCTGCACCTGAGCTCATCCCTTTACAGCAGAGTACATGTCAGGATGTGAATTATCCCGATGACCTCATATGATTCATGAAAGAACATTAAAATTTATTTGAGTGCACGCGGCGTCTCCGGACTTGTTTCAATTCATGTTTCGCTGATTTAATAAAAAAAAAGACTTTCACGGGTGTTACGAGTCTAAGAAAGAAAAATGTGCTTTTACAAAAAAAATTCAATAAAATAAAGTCAGAGACAAACTAAAATAAATGTGAAAGCATGATGATTGTGCAATAGGTGACTCACCTTGTCACCTTGATATCCCATCTCCCCTGGATCGCCCCTTTGTCCCACTTCACCCTAGATTTTATAATATCATACAAAGATATAACCAAAAAACTACCCTGCCAATGTGATTCTAATACAGCAACAAAACAAAGATAAACAGAACTTCAGCACACTGTATAATACATGGACACGTTGCAGCAACATCTCTAAAAACTATTTAAAACTGGATGGTTTGACCAAACGATATTCATGCAAATATTTTGGTAAGAATTTTAAAGGGGACACAACCTGCAAAATCCAATTTTTTGGCCAATAAAAGCATTTTGTTGTGTACTTGTCCTAAACCCCTCTATCAAWTTAAAATGGACCACTCTGGAAGCAGGAGGTGGTGGGGTGCAAAACACCCCATTTGGTTTTAAAGGGATCCCCAATTAATTGTAACATTAGACTTTATTTGATAAACATATATTTTAACTGTCAAATAAAGACTGTAAAAATACTGTTTAGTTTTTATAATTTTTCGAAATATATTTTAACAAAATATATTTTATTTACACGCAAAGCATTCTGGGAAAATGATGACGTGGATAGGTCCTCGGTGTGAGCGAGCTATATCCACCCTGAAGGTTTATCTTGGACAATATCTGATGATCGACTCTTTTAAATGAAACCAGAGAGCGTTGACAGAGAGGAGAAGGTAGAAATGACTCAGCCTGTAACTGAATATATGGATGGAGGACAACAGTCTACCTTGTTTGTCACACTAGTGCTGAGCTAATACATATAAGGCAATATAGCGTTGGGGCAAACGCTAAAGCTAACAGGCTAAGCTGTTGTCCTCCATCTATATTTTCAGTTACAGGCTGAGTCATTTCTACCTTCTCCTCTCTGTCAACGCTCTCTGGTTTCATTTAAAAGAGTCGATCATCAGATATTGTCTAAGATTAACCTTCAGGGTGGATATAGCTCGCTCACACAGAGAACCTATCCACGTCATCGTTTTACCCAGAATGCTTTGTGTGTAAATAAAATGCCATGTTAAAATATATAT